GTTAAGTCAAACGAACTATTTTCAACGTTTCTGGAACGTTTACAATCGTTCTATAATCGAACCAATATTCGAATTTTATGTTCGAATTTAATTCGAACAAATTCGAACAAATTAGAACAAAACATTCGAAATAGAAAGCCACTTTCAACCACTTTCAAGCCCATATCTCCCGCACCCTTATAGCTATCGAGACGCAACCGCAACCACCCCTATGCACGAATAGACACTTGGGGCTACTACCACATATGAACACCATTCACGTGCGATGTGTAGTTTTGGCGAAGAAGTGAAATATAGGGACATACACGTCCATTTATATATATATATATATACTAGATTATCTTAAATTTTGTAAATTATTTATATAATGTTATAATGTCTGAGATATTTTAATCGTTTCATTTAAATCACATATATTAATTGTCCCAGATGAAATGAAATTTTAATAGATTTTAATTGTGAGTTCAATATTTATACATTTTTAATATTGCTAGGTAATACGATTTTAATACTGTAGTTGCTAGATACTACGGTTTTAATGTTGATACTAAAAGCCAATGAGGTAGCCCGTTTCGTTTAAAACGAGCTGTGTTATTGGCTTGCTGTAATCAAATGGTATTCTAATCAGCTTATAATTATAATGTTTTTTTATTTTCATTTTTTATCTGTATGTGAACAAAAGAATACAAAGAAATCGATAAAGGATAGGAACTAGATGCAATATTATATCAGAATAACGGTGTTTTGATCAAACAAAACTCTATTTTACACATGTATATTTTAATAAGCTTTTTCTTTTATTATTATTTTAAAAAAGTATTATAGGTTTTACACATATCAAAAGAATACGGCAAACATTATAAAGAGTTTATACTCTTATAAAATGTTCTGATTTACACAATCTCTAACATTTATTAACGAATATTCTATAAAATTTTAATTAAAATTTATTCAGAAATGTTTACAAATATTTCATATAAAATTATTTGTGAAATTGTTATTAACTATAATAAAAAATTCTTATAATATATAACAAACAATGAAGGAATCCTACCGGTTTGTTTACAATTATCGTTGAATAATTCATTCATTTTCTTATTTGTCTAGAAAAAGAAAGAAGCAGTTTTCAGTTTTCAATAAAATCGGAATTCCCGGGCCTCAACCAAACATATTTTTTGGAAATTTGTTGGAATTATTTTTAAAGGTACATTTTAAATACATTTTTAAATTTAACGTTATTAAGATACTTATAATTTGTTTTTATAGGGACATTTACGGACCCACAAAGAGTGGATTTCCAAATATGGCAAAGTTCTAGGGTAAGACAGCTTTATCCTTTTTAATTATAATATAGTATAATAAAATAAAAATTTTAATTAATATAATTTTAGATATTATTATGGCACGACTCCGGTTCTGTTTGTTACGGACACCGAATTATTAAAAAATATTCAAATCAAAGATTTCCATAATTTTTCAGATCGACCAGTGAGCAAAGTTTAGTTTAATTAATATAGAATATTACTCTACACATTATGTACAAGTGAAAAAATATTTTAGAGTCTCCATACAGAAAGCAACAAGGTGCCTTCAAATCGATTAGCTCATAATTTACTTAATTTGAAAGGTGCAAAATGGAAGCAGATGAGAAGCGTAGTTACACCTTCTTTTACCACAAGCAAGATGAAACTGGTATAAAAGTATAAAATCGTTATAATTTATACTATAGCAAGTATATATAATCATATATAACATTTAATATTATGAATTAGATGTCGCCCATTATAAACGATGCCATTGAACTTCTGTTAAACAATTTTGAGAAATTTTGTGAATCGGGAGAAGCATTTGAATCCTATGCTCTATATCAAAGGCTGACCATGGATGTAATTGTCAGAACGGCCTTTGGTTTTCAGTCCGATATTCAGATAAATCCCAAAAGTTCTCTTTATAAATTGTCCAATATTTTAATTCATGCACCCTTTAAACATTTGTTTATACTCTTTACAAGTGAGTCATTTTTATTTTATATAAATCAAACTTTAATAAATAAATTTCTAAAAGAATTCGTATTAATATATCATAAATTTTTCAAATGCTTATTATAGCTTTTATTTTTTAAAATATTTTTATGTTACGCAGATTGGATACAATGTAAACCGTCTGTTGATATTATAAATTGTAATTAGCTTTGAATCAGTTACAAATGTGAAATAATCGCAGACAATTAAAAGAAAATAAGTTTAAAAACAATAATTAAATTCAATTTTAAATCTTTCGCAATAATATTTTAATATAAATTTTGTAGTTTAATATACCTTATGTTTTCATTTTAATATTTATCAAGGATATCTTTGTTTATACTTATTTTTCATTAGGATCTTTTGAGTTTCTCCAACCGTTTTTTCGACTTGTTCGCATCATTTTTGGTGCGATAATCAACAGAGGTAGAAATCCTCTCAAGGAATTGTTAGATAATTGTGAAGCCATCATCAACTCTCGCAAGAAAGATCCCACAGTAAAGATACGAATTTCATACTTATTTAATATTCATTTAATATCAATACACTGAATAGTTATGAAATTACTTTCTCTGGAAGGAAAAACGGATAGAGACATCGCTGTAGACATTAGCAAATACAGTACTACAAATAGCAAATACTGTAGTACTTATCTAGAAATATGTTGAAGCTGTTTATCAAAGAGGAAGTTAATTTAAAGTTTTGTCACCAGGGAAATAAATGGCATTGGAAACATAATCTAAAACACTGAAATCAAAATTTCATGTTACTGATTTCACGAATATGTTATTGAAGCCACTGCTCAATGTGTTAGCCATCACTAAGGCTGACATGATGAAATAATGAACTATATGAGCAACTGATTTGTACATTGCCTTTTGTTAGCGTAAGTGCATGAATTTCACCATTTTCATTGATGTAATTTGAAACCAAAAAACAGCAGTACTGGACGTTCTGTTTAATGTTTATTATCATATCCACAGACGAGTATACGCCGTCGTCATACGCTGTCTTTCCGCAATCGCAATGATTGTAGTAGCAGGGACTGAAGAAAATTTAAAAAATATTTTATTGTTGCATGCAATAGTTGATTTTCCTTTTTGACCATATTCAAATGTATACTATATTCCCGTTTCTGCAAAGACAGAATCAAATGCACGAAATTATGGTCCATGTTTTTATTCTCAGCATGTCGTTTCTAGTGACAGACAGAATATTGAGTACTGTAGCTGCTGCAATATCATATTGGTGAAATCGATTTTATTCTGTTTTTTCTTCTTTTTTTCTGGTCTTGCTTATTTTCCTAGTAACAAAATTTGATCTAATTTTCCCATTAAAATGCTTCTGCGTATTCTACATAAGCCACCTGACAACTTTGCAGCGATATCTCTCCTCGGTTTATCTAGAAGAGACTGNGGAGCGGTTTAACCAAAAGCTACAACTTAAATCGTATGTCTTTATGAATTGTAAGTAATACAAATAATAATTACTAGTTTGTACAATTAATGTAATTGCTTTAAGTATGTTCTATGTAAATTGGCAGTTTGGATAATATTGCTAAGATGACTTTGTGAAATTTTGTTCGGAAAGAAAGGGCGACAACTAATATCGAATGAATTTCGGTGTAATATGCGAATATCAACCACAGGTAAAAACAAATATTGTTAAGATATGTTGTAATTGTCAATCTATTTATTTGAATTTTGTGTAAATTATAAGAAAGCCATATTTAAAAGCCCAGTAGTCAAGCTGCTATCTACGACCCTGTTTGTTCTCCAATGATTATCGTCGACCTTGTTTGTTATCCAAGTTGTATATGAAATATGAAATTGTCCATCCTGTTCGACATCTGTACAATAGTGGTTTGTGTTTTATGGTATGTTTTTAAAAAATTTTTTTAAAAAAACAGTTTATCTACTCGCGTATTTTTGTACAAATTTTCTTATGTTTTATTTTTTATGTCTAGTTGGCTGAAGAGGGGCCAATGCCCGAAACGCGTAATGTAAAAGGCGTCCCAACTGAATAAATAGTCAATAAGTTGCCAAGTGTTGATAAATGTCACCTTAGTGTGTCTGCAAAGAAATACGGAGATGTTTTTAAACTTCGGAATTTCAAAATTTGAAATGAAAATATAAAAATAAAGTATGAGTTTAAAGTTACAATATTTCTTTACGAAATTCGAATTTTATCAGCGACGAAATGACGAAACATTAACTAGGTGTTTCGTTAATCAGAATTAGCTATACAAAGTGTAAAGTTAGAACATGCCGACTGATCGTATTAAGTTTATATTTACGAATCCATTTGCTTACGAAATTTCGCTTAAATATTTAAATTCAACTTAGATGATGCTGTCATTAAATTACAATTTAAAATTATTCTATATTTTTAGCCGAAAAAATAAAGTAGTCTACTACTTACTGATACCAAAAATACAACATAATCAAGAAAATCGATAACAAAATGTACAAAGACATCACGAAACTGCAGAGAAAAGAGTTATAGTGGCCGAGTAACTCTTCTATCAAGTGATTCGAATTGCCTGTATTTTGTACAGTACTTCAATACGTACAGATAAAGCAATCGATGACGCTGCAGATTTATATTATTACTTTCCCCGGCTGTTAAATAACAGAGAGAAAGTGTAACCATCGGTCAAAAATGATTCCCCTAAGATGTTTTATTTTTTTGGAATCGAAGAACCTTGAAACATCGGGAAATGTAAAAAGTTGGGGATTTTTTCTTTACGTATGCGTATTACTGTGTGTCTGGGATCCTGTTTTGTTCGCCTATTTTGAAGCTTAGTAACTCCTATATCTTTTGTTAAAAATTCCTAAAATATCAGAGGGAAGTTTATTTATTAGGGGGATTGATGTTATTAAATTTTGGTGGGTAAAGGCCAAGAGGACGGAGAGACAGAGAGTGATCACGTGGCGTATCTCGTGTGTAATCGGACTTAATGAAGATTTTATTTGTTGTTAGCATTTATAATGTTTTTATATATAAAAATCATACTGTAAACGAATTCGAACCATAGAATAATACATTAGGTAAATTTGTTTTAAAATCATTTATATTAAGGGGGAATAATTTAAAATCATTTATATAATTTTAGGGAAAATAATACCCTAAAGTGTAATAATATACATATGTAAGATAAGCCACACACGAAAAAACAAACGAAAAGAACAAAATATACGTAAGTACGGAAAGTTTTTGTTTTGTATAGTGACATTTTAAGTATAGAGTTAATGAGACTGTGAATATTCACTAAGTACGAGTAAATATATATTATGTGATGTATTTATTATATATGCAAAAAATGAAATAACTCGTATGTAGAAGGAAATGTAGAACCAAAACGTTAAATGTGTGATGACTGTCGACAGCTATTTGTCTGTTTATATATGTTTAACTTCGGTTATGTAGCGTTGTATAATTGTATTTTAAACAGGTAGATGCCGTATTATACAACGTTTTTTAAAAAAATCTTATAGACCAAAAATTCTAACTGAAGAGTGTCGGATATGTTTGGCGAAATTCATTTTATTGCTGGTCTATAAAATGTAAACATTTCACATTTGTAGATTAATAAAATAAATGCTAAATAGCTTAATAGATATAATACAGAAGGCAACAATAATAACAGAAAAACCTTTCTTTGAAATTCAGCAAACCATTTGCATCACAGGTTTATAGACATCGAGGCAAGCATTTATGGTAATTATTAAGCATTTAAAGGTACTTAAATGTTTAATAAACACCTCATTTTCACAGAAATTGTGCCCTGTAATGTTCAAAATATCTTCTAGCCATACAATGTGGCCACGTTACTCAGTATATCGGGTAATAGACCATTATACAAGGCATTTTTACACGGTTAACAAACATGACAATTCAAAGTATTACTCTGAAGGGTCATGTTTGGTAGATAACAAAGAAAGTTTTCTAAGTTCCTTTGCTACCTATCAAATGCATTATTTGTAAATTTAATATTAAGTGTTTCATCATTTATGAAATACGATAATAATTATTCGTCGTTGATAAATAATACAAAACTGCAGCGTCATTCATTACGTTATCTGTAAGCAAACAAAGAATATATAAATTATGAAGGTCACTTCATTTGATAAAAGACTATACTTTAACGAGTTACTCGACACTCTACCTACTTTCTCTGCTGTCTCGTAATGTTTTTGCAAATATTTTTACCAGTTTTCTCTATTTTGTTGTATTTATGGTATCAGTAAGTAGTACAAATTTTAATTAATTAATTTCTAAACAATAATACGAAATATTCAGCCGAAAGCGTTAAATAATTTTTCTTTAGCTTTAATATAAAAATCGAGATGTTCTGTTGTTCTATTGAAAGTCAAACAGTTTAGACCGGTCTGTCAATACTTTTATCATTAGACTAGCTGCAAGGACACGCTTCGCTGGGTTTTTATTTGTATGTAATACAGTTTTATATATATATATATATATATATAAGACTATTTTTCTAAGTAATCAAGAATCTAGCTGCAAGGACCCGCTTCGTTGGGCAAAAAGTAACGATAGTGAAGATTAAGATAATTACATTATAGCCAATCTTACCCGTTTTCATAAAATGCAAGAATTAGGTCCCCCGTTTCCAGACTAATTAGAGAATTTTTACGTTTAGTCAAACGAACTATTAGCGAGGTTGCGGCCGACGTTTTCAACGTGAAAACGTGTATGTCGGACGTTCAGCGCCGCTTTCCTATAAACCTAGAAGTTTGACAATGGTGTTTGGATAGTCAGTGGAATCGTGCTCGACGTCCCAAACACCATTGCCAAACTTCTAGGCCTTTAGGAAAGCGGCGTTGTACGTCCGACGTACACGTTTTTGCGTTGAAAACGTCGGCCGCAACCTCTCTATTTTCAACGTTTCTGGAACGTTTACAATCGTTCTATAATCGAACCAATATTCGAATTTTATGTTCGAATTTANCAGCGTCATTCATTACGTTATCTGTAAGCAAACAAAGAATATATATTATGAAGTTTATCTGATAAAAGACTATAATTTAACGAGTTACTCGACACTCTACCTACTTTCTCTACTGTCTCGTAATGTTTTTGCAAATATTTTTACCAGTGTTCTCCATTTTGTTGTATTTATGGTATCAGTAAGTAGTACAAATTTTAATTAATTAATTTCTAAACAATAATACGAAATACTCAGCCGAAAGCATTAAATAATTTTTCTTTAGTTTTAATATAAAAATCAAGATACTATGTCGTTCTATTGAAAGTCAAACAGTTTAGACCGGTCTGTCAATACTTTTATCATTAGATTATCTTAAATTTTGTAAATTATTTATATAATGTTATAATGTCTGAGATGTTTTTATTGTTTCATTTAAATTACATATAGTAATTGTTCCCAATGAAATGAAATTTTGATAGATTTTAATTGTGAGTTCAATATTTATACATTTTTAATATTGCTTGGTAATACGATTTTAGTACTGTAGTTGCTAGGTGCGATAGTTTTAATGTTGATACTAAACGCCAATGAGGTAGCCCGTTTCGTTTAAAACGACCTGTGTTATTGGCTTGCTGTAATCAAATGGTATTCTAATCAGCTTATAATTATAATGTTTTTTTTTATTTTCATTTTTTATCTGTACATAAACAAAAGAATACAATGAAAT